CGTGTGTGTGTCTATGTATGTGTGTGTGTATTTTTATGGAATTTTCCTTGTGTATTTGTGCTTCCGTTTGTGTTAATATCTGCTAGGTGTAATTGTTGCTGTATTTGTTTGCATCTGATTATGTATTGTTTTGTTTGCGTATCTGTATTATATTACAATTCGTTTTTGTGGGGGGGGGGCGATTCTTTTTGTTTTCTAGTTGTGTTCATATTGCGTGTGTATTCTGTATATGTTATATCTATGTTTGTTGATGGGTTTGTATTTGAGTTTGTGTATATGTATACACAGATATAATATCGATATGGTCGTTGAAACAATACACTAATTGTTTGATGACCTTTTCTCGTCCTCCCCAGTGACTTGGAGCGGGTGAGGGAGGGAATCGGAGACAAGGTGGGTCTTTCCATACAGTTTCTAGCCCAGTTCTTGGCCGGCTTCATCCTAGGCTTCGCCAGAGGTTGGAAGTTGACCTTGGTTATCATGTCCTTGACCCCTCTTCTCGCCATTGGGGCTGCTGTTCTGGGGAAGGTAAGATAAGATAAGATAAGGTAAGATAAGATAAGTATAGATAAAATGTATTTATATTTATTGTCCACTCTATACAGCGACAAAGCACAGCTGATTAAAACCTGTCAATTCTTTGCCATATCGACAGACCGAAGGGCTAGAACCCAAATGGCCGCTGGATCGGAAAAGTAAAGTAAAGTATATTTATTGTCCAGATCCTGGCGTATTGGTTTGGTTTCTCTCTCTCTACACAAATACACACACACACACACACACACACACACACAGACGCACACAAACACACACACGCACATACACCCAAACACACACACACACACACACAAACAAACAAGCATATGCACACACATACACAAAAGCACATGCACAGCCACACGCACTCCCATACACACAAACTCTCTCGCATATCCTTACCCCAACACGCATCAGATAATCTGTACATATTGATCAGATACGTGCCTTCTGTGTATGGTTGGTTTGT